TAACAACTTTGGAAAGAGAACCAAGTCGAAAGAAGCAAAAGAAGAGTCATTCCTGGAGTGACTGACCTCTCTTAGCCTTTTAATCTATTTAACATCCTAAGCCACACTGACGTGTAGAAATAAGTAAATGGCACTCTTCAGTTCTTAAGAGCTCTTCAGCATCAAATATTTGCTTTTACTCTTAGTATTTGGCTCCCAAAGAGGAGATACATCCTCCATCTAGCAGCTGTGCTCCAGGGAGGACCTAGCTGTGGGATTACCTCCAAATATTACTTCTAGCCTCACCCTCCCTGACCTGGGAACAGTGTTCTGGGCCCCAGTCTGTGCTTTGAATATCCCAGGGAAACTCTGCACCTCCTGGTTCTAGAAAGTGCTGCAACTTTCCTGCTTCACTGTGGATTCCCCACTTATCCAGTCTTCCTCTCAACTCTGCTCTAGGACTTTACCTAAATTATCTCCAAGAGCCAGAGCCTGGGGACTCCAGGAGGTAGTTCCATTTAAACTATGCCTTCTGCAGTTCTGAAGAAATGCAGGAAAGGAGGAGGAGAGTCAGAATTATTAGAGAAAGTTGCTTGCTTTTTTGTCTCTTCACACTGAATAAACTCAAAGACATGGGAGGAGGAAACTGTTTTGGCATTGGTTCAATAGGAAAAATGTAGTCTATTAATTTTTATACATATTAGAAATATCTATATGAATCACCTCCTATTCACAGGAGATTCCTAGAATCACAGGTAAACTTCTAACTGGATATTCTTTCCATATTTAAAAAATAGTGTTTGGTGCTCTGGACACTTGAACTTATTCTGAAACTCAACATAGCTTGTGAATATTATTATTTAATTAGATAAGTATTTATTTCCCTGTAATTGGATGTAGTGCATCTCAATCCCAGTAAGAGTTTTTAATCTTAAGACATCTGTGCTACAGTGAATATATTTAGGCAGTCTGCACTAATCACCCTTTCAAAAGTACTATCCAAGATGATCATCACTGCTGTGTGCTTGAGAATTTAAGACTAGAAAATTCTGAAGTAAAACTAAAGTATCTTGATTTTTTAAAAATGATTGCATCTATATCTTGCATTCCGCTTTTAAATCCTTCCATTTTGGTTAAGTGTTTCACAAAATCCTGCAAATCTATAGTCTTGAAGAGAGGCAACATTGCAAATTCCCCTTGATAGATGGAGGGCCCTCAACTGCCAGGACATTTTTCTTTGCCTCATAGCAACTGCTCTCCCCTTTTTATCAGTATTCTGGTTAAAATAGCAAAAGGGAAATAAAAATGGGCTTTTGACATTTCCAAGCAGAAGTGAATGATCTCGATCAGCCTTAGGATGGAAAGAAAAGGCAGCATTTAAAAATCAGACCTCTTTGTCTTTTCTTCTAAAAACTACTTGCCATGAATAAGCAAACATTTCCCTTTTAATGGCTAATAATCAATTGCTTGGCGGTGGTCCAGGACTGGCTGCAGTTCTTTCTTAGTTGAACTGATGATATATACACATGGGACAAGGAACAGCAATTACTTTCAGACTGGGAATTTAGGACAGCTTTGAAATGGGCTTTAGATTTTATTGTTCAATGTCAAATGACAAGATTTGAAAGATCCCACCTTAAATTCCTTAAAATATTGACTTTACATGGACTTTTTTGTTGTTGTGCTTGATCTGTAGGAGAAAACCTTTTCTCTCCAAATATGTTTATCTAGTTGTTTAGGTATATATATGAAAAAAAATGTAGGGAGTAAAATGGTTCAATGAGTTAAAAAGTTAAATATCTATAGTCTTCATTTCCTAAAGAGCCAGCAAGTAACTTCTTAATTTTTTAACTAGTTTATTAAATATTTCTGGTCTTTCCCATGCCTTACCATGGGAAAATAAGGGTAGCTGTGATAGCGTGGAATGTAAAGGATCAGAACAGAAATAATAACACACCTTGGGAAGGCTGCTAAATCTTATTTATCCATAACTGAGCTTCTCATTTTAGTCTGATCTTTTCTTTTTAAGGTACCAGCTTATACTTCTTTGCTTGACTGATATAGATGTAATTTATATAATACAGAATCCTTGTTGATGTTTATACACTAAAGGTCTGGGCCCTAAGTCACACGTAGTGTCACATCCAGACACTAACAGAGTAGACTGACCCCAGGAACATATTTTATGGCACTTGCCCCAGTACCTCACAGAGGCCTGCCTTCAGTGAGTATTTATAACCACCAACACTTCAATTCAAGCCAGTTGTTACTATTTTTCCTTAAATTACCCAAGCATTATAACGAGGCTTCTTTTTAAATGTACTTTTACTTTGTCTGAGATTAACTTTGGGGTTTTAAAAGGGCTGCATTATTAAGATGAGATATAATTTCTGTCTTATTCGACAGCAATTTGAACACTACACCAGTTATTATTCTGGAGGAGTATTTGTTAATATTTGTTGAAAACAAGAACCATGGTCTCTCAGAGGACCAGAGTCTCTCAGTCTCTCAGAGCTAAAGAATCAACCATTCCATTTTCTTACTAGTGATGATGACAGCATCAGTAATAAAATGTCACTTTATGTTTTATACATTTGGGAATGTTTGCAATGTGCACTCACACTTATCACATCCTGAGTCAGAATAGATTACCTAGAAGAAGCAAAGCTTAAGGAGAGACTTGAAGGCAGATAGACTGTGATATCCGTAGAATTGAAGAAATTAGCAGGGAGAATGAAGAGGACCTAAAGAGGAGAAAGAGAGTCTATTGTAATAGAAGGTATTAGAAAAGAATGATTTAAAAGGTGAAAGAGAAAGAGAGCCTGTGCTCAGAGCTACGCATTCGATTTGATCTCATCAGCTCCAAAGGGGAAAAAATGCATGAATGAGGAAGTTCCAGTGAATATGGCTTCTATATTCTTTCCTAAAGTCTTCGTATTTCTGAAAATTAACGATAATAGCTTCCATTTGTAAGACAAATGAATCTTGAGGATGTAATGTACAACATGGAGACTAGTTAACAGTGCTGTTTTGTATATTTGAAAGTTTCTGAGAGAATAGCTCTTAAAAGTTCTTATCACAAGAAAAAAAAATCTGGAACTATATGTGGTGATTGTTAACTCAACCTACTCTGGTAGTCATTTTGCAACATGTACATAATTATGCTATGCACCTAAAACTAATACAATGTTATATATCAATTATATCTTTTTCAAAATGACAGTAGATGTATGTCAGCTTTTAAAGCCCTTCAAGCTTTTCTAGATTTGATTTAGTTTACTCTAAAGTGTTCTTTCAGAAAAAATCTTTTTCCCTTTTCCAAGAGGAGGCCAAAGTGCACAACAGGAGCATGAAATGACAACCTCACAATTCCTCACAGGAATTTCCTCACAAAAAAGTAAAAGAGCTATATATGTTTACTGCAGTCTCTGGAAATCCCTTAGCCAGCAAAGGTGGCTGTCTTTGTTTTCTTGAATAAATGGGTATTTGCACTGAAGTCACATACCACACAAAGGAAACAAAACAAAATAAAAATGTCCTTCGTGTTCCGTTTTTCAATCATTTGTGTGAAGGAGGTTCTTGGCCTTTATCACTGTCAGTGAAAAGTTCTGCATTGGACAGAGACATTCCACTCACCCTGCTTCTTGTGCACAGGGCGCTTACCATGGAAACTACCTCTGGAGCCATCAGACAAACATATAAATGACTGAGCTCAACACTGGGCACTTTAGGTTTTGCTTTATCTCAACAACAGCGCATGAGGAAAGATGCTTAGAATTTCTTGAGAAATTTAGTGTTCTACTTGTCTTGCTCTGAAACTGAAAACCCACAAGTTGGACTTACTCAAGTTAGGAAACAACTGAGAAATGACTTTATCTAAGGGATGCTGATACTAAAATAAGTATGCTATGTATTTAACTTAAGTCTGGATGGTAAAGCTGTACTTTTTAAGATAAGTTTTTAGTGGTAGCTTGAGTATCCCCTAGATAAGAAATTCATATTTAATATATGTTTGTATTTTTTAATTGCTTATGACCTTTCAGTAACTGAAAGAAAAAAAGTTCTCTCACTGAACAAGTTTTTTGTTTGTTTGTTTAACAAGATTTATCCTAAACTGTTGTTGACTTATCCTTAAAATATAACATTTTGCTTTGTAACATGAACCCGAGGGAATATAAAAGAGTGCTTCACAAAACTTACATTGTATTTTTTAAAATTCCATCTTCTTGTCAAGTTGTCATTTAATTTATAACCAATCCCAGATCATTTCCCTATGATTTCCATCGAGTCTGTTTCTAGCTTTCCTAGTCCCTGGTCCACATGAACCAACTGTAAAAACTGTGGCTGACAGTGCATGTCCATTGCTTGTTTTCCTCACCAACTCCTCACATCAAGGCGGTTTACAAAAACTAGCCTGATATATTCCTGGATGGCCATGGCATCAGGATGTGCATGCTTTTTTAAATATGTAATTGGAACTCAGTTCTTTCCTTAGGCATGGAGCACATGTATGTTTGGGTGGTTTGTGGTGTGAGAGAAAAATGGATGGCTACCCTTTTGGATTTTAGCTGCTTCTTTGGCTTTGGCTACTTAAAAAAGAAAGAAAGATACGCACACGCAGACACACACACACACACACACACACACCTTTTATCCTTAATCAAAAGAATTAGGCTGTACCATAAAAAAGAACAAAATAATGCCATTTGCAGCAACACGGACCTAGAGATTATCATACTAAGTGAAGTAGGTCAGTGAAAGACAAAAATCATATGATACTGTTATATGTGGAATCTGAAAGATGGTACAAATGAACTTACAAAACAGAAACAGACTCACAGACATAGAAAACAATCTTATGGTTACCAAAGTGGAAAGGGGAGGGGAAGGATAAATTAGGCGTTTGGGATTAGCAGATACAAACTACTATATATAAAATAGATAAACAACAAGGTCCTACTGCATAGCACAGGGAACTACATTCAATATCTTGTAATAACCAATAATGGAAAAGAATATGAATTTATGTATAACTGAATCACTATGCTTTACACCAGAAACACAACATTGTAAATCGACTATACTTCAATAAAAAATAAAAGAATTAGGCTGTAAAACAAATTTAAAGGGAGGAGTCAAAGAACTCATACTGTGCCTAAAGTTACACATTCTATTCCTTACCTATTATTAAAATGATTAAAGTGATGACCTTTGTGAAAGCTCAGATGCCAGCATGCAGGGGGTTATACAATACAATTGGCAGGTCATCTCTGATGGATATAGTCTTCTGGCTTCTTCTATAATAAAAATAAAGTAAAACCACCCAGGTTTCAGGAATTATCATCTTAATCATGTCTTTTATAGAACCATTGGTAAAAGTACATGAATATCTTTTTATCGTGCACACTGGTTTTCCATTATTGAGATTTTCTATTATGCAAATCCTAGAGAAGCCAAATCCTACAGATTTTCTATTATTCAAGTCCTAGTAGGTTCCTGATTCCCCCATCCGCTGACTGGTCACAAGAACATTCCCAAAGGTCAGGCAGCATAGAGGGGGAAACTGCTAGGGTCTCCAAGTAAATCAAGATGTTTGCCTGAATGGAGGTGGAAGCACTGGGTGAGTAAGGAGAAAGTGAGAGAGTGAGTGTCTGTGTCGGCTTGGTAATCACCCACCTCCATCCAGCCTGGCTTTTACCAGCTTTGAGTTGATAAAGGGTAAGCCAGTGGCAGGGAGCGGGTTTTATCACCTCTGGAGCAGCACACCCGGATCTGTAGAGGAAAAAGGGTGGTTTTATTCAGATGCCAATTAAGGGACCCGAAGACCTGCAGCATTTCAAAAATCCTTGTAAGGAACAGACTCATTTCTAGGAATCCTGTTGTGATTTGCTTTTTAGTAACATCTCAGTGACTAGCAGACTGTGATTTCATCTTGTCCAAGTTGTATTTGTTTCCCAACTGCTCAACAATGCTAACTGGGGGCACAGACACTCTTTGCAAGTTGCATTTTTTGAAACAGATAACTCACCCTAGCAATGAACATAGATTGAAAACCAGTTAAAAGCCAGTGAGAACAAATGGGTCTTAAATCGAGGATGGAACAAAGGGAAGGTGGGGGCACATCCCCTAATGTCAACAGGCAGAAAGCTGCACGTGCATAATGGCCATGGGAGCGACCACCCAAGGGGATCCGAGTCACTTCTGGAGACAGACAGAAACCTGGAGCCAGGGGCCATGCCAGCCACCCTGAGTCCTGCTCAGGAGAGAGCCAAGGTGGCTGGGGATGGTCTTACTCCTGTTCCCTGCCACACGTGTATCCACAGCGAGATTTCTTCCTCCAGATATAATCCAAAGGCAGGAGGCTGGCGCTCTGGCAGCTGTGGTCAGCAGCTGCACTGCTAGTAAACCCAGAGGCTGTTAATGAGATGATTGAGCACTAACTAGAGACAGTTGAATTACACAAATATATAACCCCTTCCACTCCCCACTGAAAGGCCGCCCGCCCAGTCAGCCTTATTATCATACAAAGCCCGCAGGAGACAGAATTTTGAGAAAGTTGTGAGCCACAAATACACGGTGGTATATACCATGAGAACCAGGCACTGAGCTGCTACTGAGGCTGATCTAGTGAAGGATAAGGCATAGTGCAGAAGGAACCTGATTTTTCTTTCCAACATGCACCAGACCAGGGGATCAGACAGGCAAAACCAGATCTGGGTTTGAGATCTGGCTTTCCTGAGTGACCCAGTTCAAGTTTTGTAATTTCTTGGAGCTACAGTTTCCTCATCTGTAAAATGGAAATAATGATGTATATGGGTGTTGTGAGGCTGGAGATATTTTATGTGAAGTGCATGGCATGGGGCTTGCCTGCAGTTAGTAGGTACTCAATTAATAGCGGCAATTATTGCTGTGGTAATAACATATTTTGGGGTGGTGGGATACATGTGGGGGGGCTGAGTTTTACCCTCCTATATTGCTGGGAGCAATCCTATGATGCATTTAGCATCATCAGTCACACGCTGAAGTGAACTTTATCTAGTTCACAGAGGAAGAAGCTAAGGTAGAGAGAGGTTGGGTGACTTGCCCAGTGTCTCACGGAGTCAGGCTTGGAGCCCAGATTTTCCTAATCTGGGGTTCTTTCTACTTCAGCACATCCTGCATTACTGGTCCCTGAAGTAGCTTTTCTTCTCCTAACAGAGTTAGGGAAAAGCTGCCTGTAGAAGAGATTTCCTTAAACCCGGAAGCATTACCCAGATCCTCCAGTTTCAGATTTTTGGCCTCAGGCTCCTTGCTGCCATGGATGTCAAATCTCTGCTTGTGATGCAAAGGCTCTCACTGCACTTAATGGAGGGATAGAGGCTCGGCACCCCCAAGTCCTAATGTTTTCATTTCTGGGTGCTTCTGTAGCTGCTTCAGGTGTTTTTCCCCCAGTCTCTGTGCTTCAGGATTCATTCTTGCCAGTGTGTGAATCCCTGAAGTAGCATTTGAGTCCTCTCAATTCAGCCAGAGCATCTTGTAGTAAAAGTTCTCTCTCTTCAGCACATATGAAACACCACGTAAGAACAGAAATCAGATGAATCGGAAACAAATGCGTTTCCTGGAGAGGACCAGAAACAGGGCAAATGTTGACGGCACAAAGAAAGCAAAGGGAAATGCATTAAGATAAAAAAAAAAAAGAGAGAGAGGTGGAGGGGTGTAGAATTCTCCCCCCACTGGGAGAAATGGAAGAGAGAATGGTGCTTCAAGACAAGGCTGCATCTCTCACACCAGACCCTTGGATGTCTCTGCAGGGCTGCTAGTGAATGGGGTGAAAGGAAGTTGGATGTTGGGCTCTGTGGTCCTGCCTTCCTCATCTCTGGCTGCCTTACCAAGGCTGAGTCCTCCCTCACTCTGCAGAGAGGAGCGATAGCTCCCAGAGTCCTCAAAACCCAGGCCACCTGACCCAAGCCTGGGGCCTTGGGGCCTTCTTCTCTTTCCTAATCTCCTTTAGCTCTTACAGTCAACACCACCTGCTTTTCCTCTTAATTGCTTTCTGAATATTTCAAATGTGCTAATTTCATCTTCCTAATTTGATTGTCAGCCTCTCCAGGACAGGCACCATGCTCTGTATCTCTTCTGTATTTTTCAAAAGAAATACTTGCTGATTTTTTTTTTTTTGATGTAGGAACATGTTGCTCACTATAAGGCAACTGGACTTCTTAGGTTTAAAAACCTCTCATTAGAAAGGAACGTGTTTCTTCTTTGTCACAGTTGTATCTAATCAGATCAGAATATGAGTCAGGATTCACTTCCCTCCCAACCAAAGTGATATAAAATCACTTCCTGCAGGAGGTACTGTCGAATGCCACTGGCAAGGGTACGTTGAGAGAGGTCACCCTTATTTGAGAGAACTGGTAATGCTTCTGATCTCAGAACAAATGAGAAGGGATTTGCTGTTTGTATGAAAAGTTCTCTTCCCTGGTCTGTATAAGACACAATAGATGATAACAGCTGATTCAGAACAGTTAGACTCTAGTGTATAAATATGTAAACATGGGTAAGTATGTATTTAGACAATTTAAAAGTGTGTCTCATTTACCCAATTATAAACAGCTGTCTGAGAGCAATTACGATTTATCATGTAAATGCTTATTTGCATAATTCAAAATATGAATATTATTTGCTTGATAAAGACTGTAAATAAAAGGCAACCTGAACTTTCTCATGCTTAGAGTTTTATGCTACGTTTTTACCTCACGGGGGAAAAAAAGCATCTTGTTCAAAATGGAACTTAATTTTGTTCATTCTAGCAGGTCCAGGTAATAGCTAATTTAATAAGAAAAGAGCAAAAGTAAAGGTGAGTGGCTGACAAATAAAGAGGTCGCACTACTCTGCTACTTTTACTCCAGAAAATTTACTACGTGGGGATGATGAATTGCCTTACAACCGTTTCCACTGAACGTGAATGTTTCATGGTGACTTCTTTCAGGGTATTTAGCATATTATTTTATGTGCTACAACTTGATATACATATAATTTTTCAATAATGTATCATTATTCTTTAAAGTGCAGGATTATTAATTGAGTATGCTTCCAAGGGTGCTAAAATTCATTTCTCCTTACAATATAACTTCTGCTCATATGAGAAGTAATGAAATGTGGACATCAAAACTTCCACCCACGTATTGCCTGATATAGTAGGTTTCTGGGACTGTCATAACTAATTACCACAAACTTAGTGACTTGAAGAAACAGAGACTTATTTCTCAAAGACCTAGAGGCTAGATGTCTGAACTCAAGGTGTCGGCAGGGCCTTGCTCCCTCTGAGGCTCTAGGGAAGAGTCTTTCCTTGCCTCTTCTTAGCTTCTGCTCGTTGTCGGCTATCCTTGGTGTTCCTTGGCTTTGGTTGCATCATTCCAGTCCTGCCTCTGCTGGCGCCTAGTCTTCCTCCATGTGTGTCTATGTGTCCTCTCTTCTTAGAGGGACCCATCCTGCTCCAGTATGACCTCATCTTAATTAGTCATATCTGCAAAGACCCTTTTTCAAAGTAAGGTCACATACACAAGCACCCAAGGTTAGAACATATCTTTTGGGAGAATACAATTCAACCCACTACACTCAAGGAGAACTAATTTGCAAAATAATGTCTCTGAGCACTGAAGGCTCCTGAAATATTATCTGAATTATCCTTCCTTTGAGAGATATTTGTATGTTGCATGGTTTTGACAGAATATTATATTATTTGAAGAAATGAGAATTCTTATGTGATATATAGTGTGTTATTATTTAGTATATTCAAGGAACATTTGCTGAGTTTCCATTATGTGGAGAAAAATGTGATGAGAACTCTCTCTTAGCCAGATTATCCAGTTAAACAGAACATCTCATTCTTCCACTATTTTTGACAAGCAAAAGCTCATGATCTTTTCTTGATATTAAGCTTCTCTTCAAGGACCTTATTGCTATTTTTGTGTCACTAATTGTGGACAAGTCTCCCCACGTGGATTAAATCTCTTTCTGCAGCTCCCTACTGAGTTGAGGGGTCAATCACTGCCTCCTTTATGCAATTCTTTCCATGCTTCTAGGAAAGTGGGCCAAGCATAGTGCTCAACCTGCTATAAAAGGCAGCACACTCAGACCTCATAACGCTGGTTTACAGGTATAAATACTGAGACTCTGATGGGGTCCAAACTCAAACAGCCGTTAAGTGACAGAACCAGGATGTGAATCTGAGTGTTCCTATCTCTAGTGCTTGTACCTCTGCCGTATAACATATAAGACATCCCAGTGTGCCTGCCTGCATGCTGCCACGTCCGTGGCTGTCTCATACCCCCAGGCCTGTCCAGGAATGTTTTCTGTGCTGCTCCAGCTCTGGTTTTGCCATGTTGCCACAACTCTCCTAAGTAGCTTCTGGTGCCTTGGAGGATGCATTGCCCAGATGACTGGGTTAAGAACTTGGAAACCTGCATTGATCAGGGCACCACAGCCGTTCAGATGTGAGAAGACAAGTCCTAGAGTCCAAGCACAGGCACGGGAACTGGTTATAGACTTCCATGAACAAGACCAAAGATGTGAATGAGATCGTCAGGATTGGGATGCAGTGGCGGGCTAGGGCCTGCCTCACACCAGGGGGTGTCCAAGGATGCATGTCCAGCAGAAGAGAACTGCTGAAAATACCTCCTGCCTAAATTTGTAACCGTCATGGCCCCAAAGTGTTGCATCTTCTCTCGCTTGTTTGGGTAAGGTGTTGCTTCGCTATCTTTGTGATGTCACTTCTCTGCTCCTCCTTAGATGCCCAGAGCAATGGAATGGTTGTCATTCCCACCTTACGTCACTACCTGTCTTCTTCTGTATGTGTCCTGTCAGCCCAACTAGACTGCAAGCTTTCTGAGGAAAGAGTCTCCCTCTCCTTCTGTCCTCATGTTACCAATAGTAACCTCATCCAGTCTCTAGTTCTTGACATTCAGAGAGGACCATGTCTGATAAGTGTACGTAAATGGGAAATTCAGTCATTGACAAGATGGGCAAGTTTTAATTTTTCCAAGTAAAAAATTTTGCTTCTAAAAGTAAAGGCAATCTTTTTGCTCTCACCCAACCCCAAAATTTTGCTTCTAAAAGAAAAAGCATGCTTTTGTTCACACCCTACCACTCAAGAAAAGATCTGATAGCCTTTATAATTTGTGTGGGGGCTTAAATGCCACAAAATGCTGGATGACTGCTTCAGGGCCAATGCCAGCATTAGGAGAAATACGCAGACTCACTATTTAGTGCTGTTTATTTGACAATCCTGCCTTTTTGTCAGGATCTACTTTTTTTTTTTTTTTTTGGCTACTGAAAATCAAACCTGATGTGGAAGTCAGACTTCTGTGATTCCAAAATCATACATCCTAAAATCCAGGCTGAAAACAAAATCACTTCAGTGCTTTGTTTTTTACTAATGCTTTCTATTTCCAATCAGAAAAAAAGATCATACTGTATAGCACAGGGAAATATATACAAGATTTTATGGTAGCTCACAGAGAAAAAAATATGACAATGAATTATATACATGTTCATGTATAACTGAAAAATTGTGCTCTACACTGAAATTTGACACAACATTGTAAAATGATTATAAACCAATAAAAAATGTTAAAAAAGGAAAAGAAAAAAAGATCATTTCACATATTATGGTGCCTATCAGTGACGAACCAGGCAGGTCATAAAAATGCACCCAGGCAGAGGAGTTTCCACACTGGCATAAGCAATGAACTTCCCTTGGGTCCTAAACTGCTCCTAAATTAAACAAGGATCAAGAAATCCAGTTTAAATCACCATCCAAGTTCAGTACTGTGTAAAGGTTATGACCTTCACCAGAAAACCAGGTATAGTGGCTCCTGCCCATCTCTCGTCACCTGTCAATCCTGAAGTCACAGAAAGGGCCAGCGAATAGGGACCTGCCTCCTTCTGTCACCTTCAGCCCTGCTTCAGTCTCATGTACCACTTGCTGCAATGTTTTTCAATTATTTATTTCCTTTCTAGGCATCATAGCAAGCTTATGAGAGAGGTTCATTTCACTGTCATCTATCAGTTAGCTTCAGGGTAGGACTGTAAACCAGCTTTGAGTGCTAAGTATATTGTTCCAGTTTTAAGAGAATCATTTCCCCATGAGGGTTGTTAATCTGTTACCGCAAGTTTATTCATTCTATTCATTCAACTAACAAGCACTTACAGAATGTCTACTATGTGACAAAGCCTGGGTTAACTTCTAGAAAATGACATTTGCATAATCTTTTACAACTACCAGAATATAAAAATCACTATTTCCTTTTATTTGTTTCCAGTTCTAGAAGGTAAGGAGTATTATCTCCACTTTACAGATGTGAAAACTGAGGTTCAGGTCCCAGGGCTTTTATGAGGGCAGGACAGTCATCCAAGCTTAAACTCTAGAGAGTACAGAAGACTATTGGATGCCTCTTCTTGGCACCATGTTGGAGATTTAATAGTAAAGAAAGGACCAGTCCCTGGCCTTGAGGGGCTATGTTTAATATACACGGGACTTTGCATATAATTTGCATATAATTTATTATCCAAACAAGACATTTTTGAAAGGAAAAGAAGCGCTGTGATAATCATGCCAGGACAACAGGCGTAAGCTGGGAGGGATGCTTACTCCCTTTCTCGCAGCCTGTCTGTCCAGGGAGGAAACAGGATATCTCTGGAGACATACTTGCCCTCACAGAAGCTGGCATAGCCGAGTGCGAAGAGGGGACAGGCAGGAATGAGGCGAGTAGGGAACAGTACCTGGGCTGACGTCATGTACCAACCAGATAGTCAGAGATGAACCCAACTTGGGAGGCAGGGCTGTCAATGGGGCAAGCAGCTGGACTCAGCTGTCTCCCTGCTGCTTAATTTTAAGCTGCAAGAGCAAAGAAGGACAATAAGCAGAGTCTCTATTCTCTGGACAAAATCAACCCATCTTGTTTCACATTCCCTTCCAGGAAAACCAAGCCACATAGTGGGTGAAAATTTCTAAGATCTTTTTCAGAAAAAAAAAAAATTGCCGAGTTTTCTTTTACACACTCTCCACTAGCAGGAATTTATTTTCTAACTAACTAGTCTGATATTATTAAAAGAACTGTTCCCACTGAGTGGATGTTAATCATTAAGATGCTCCAGAAAGCAGCAAAGTTACCTTCCTTTGGTTATTGACCGGAAGCGAAATGAAAGGAGTTGGGTTATCTGAGACTGTGAGCCCAAGACTGAGACTGAGTTTGTTTGTTGTCAGGTAGGGATCGTGTGCCAGAGCTGGAAGGAATCTTAGATGATCAGTTTGGCCTCCTGCTTTTAGGCAGTTTACTCCAAAACTCCAAACACCTGCAGGGAGTTTTGGACGTCAGGGTAAATTATGTCCTTTGCAGAAGGTCACAGAGGGCCTTCGTGCACTGACCCTCCGCTGCCGACCCCACTTCTCCCACCACTCCCTCATCTGGGCTCAGTGCTCCGGCTGTGATGAGGCTGGTGGGGATGGTGTCTGACATCTCTGGAGCGCTAAGATGCACCAAGCAGTTCTCTAAGCACACCGCCTGTGCTACCTCAGCTGTTCCTCACAGCCCTGTGAAGTTTATATTAGCAGTATTTTTGCAGATGAGGAATCTCAGGCACAGAGAAGTTAAGTAACTGAACTTTATCCATTGATTGATCCCCTGTTTATCTCATATGCACAAAAATCTACACTTCTGGGTGATCTGAATACACTAGAGGAGGTTCTGAGTGCAAATCCATGGAAACCTCCCCATGTCTGCAGAAAATTAGGGACTAACTCCTGAAATTAGAGTCAGCGTGGCTGTGAAGACCAGGGAGTAAGAAGCAGGGAAACATGACAGAGAAGGAGTGTTGGGAAAGGCATAGAGGTGCTGGGAGAGGCCAGATGGGTTGGAGGAAGATTCCTGTTCTGACAGAATCAGTGAGGACGGCACGGTAGGCAGTCTGCCGTCGAGGTTGATTGATCAATGGTTGAGAGGCTGCCTGACAACTCACCAAAGGAAGGACAGGGGCTGGAGAAGGGGATGACCTTTCACCCTCAGGCTCCCAGCACAAATTCCCCGGGAGACCCAGTGTCTTATCACCCTGTGGAGTTAGAAGTGAATGACTGAAAACAAAGTTCCACCCAGGAGATGGCCAAAGGGTAGGTTTTTGACTTGTGGTTAAAAACTGGTGAAAGAAATTCTTTTAAGCAGAAAGAAAGCAAGCATTTGGCCCAAAATGTAAACGAGGGGTAAAGAGAAAGGAAGAGAACTGTGGAATTCAAAAGGCCTGTGTCCTAATCCTGGCTTTGCTGCGGTCTTGCTGGGTGGCCAGTGAGCCATTCACCCTTCCCTGCCTCACTTTCTCTCAGTCAAATGGAGGCGGCAAGCCCTGTTCCCAGCATCACAGAGGCTGTTAGGAGAATCACAGATGCCAAGAGTGATGGTGCTGTGTAAATCCAGAGCATCGCAAGTCCTATTTTTTTCTCCTTGGACCAGGTGAATCTGTCAAGGGGTAGAGGGAAGAGACAGAAACAAAGAAACAGAAAAGAGAACAGTCTCCTCTCAGCCTGAGGGACCGTCCTTCTAATCACACTCCCAAAGATAGCAGATGTTAAATAATGGAAATCCTACAACCTAAATGGTGCCCCAAATGATCTAAGTCCTTCTGAGTCATAGAGCATTGAAATTCTAGGAAGCACGTTGGATACTTAGGATATCCACATGACTTGTACCTGGGGCAAAGAGTAACGCTATGATTTCCTTCTGATGTTATTTTAATGTGTAACTGTCATTAGTCACTGTTGCATTTTATTTTGCCTGTAAAGCCTTCTAGAATAGTGCTTTAAATGTTGTTGTGGTACAGCAACATTTGCTTAACAGGTCCTCAAGGGTAGAGGTTGTGTCTTCTGCTCCCTTTGTATTTTTGGAAGAGCAAAACAGATACTCAAGTTCACATTTCACTTAAACCCAATGCATCCCTTCCCAACATCGCTGTGACTCCCAGCGTTTGCATTTGGCTCTGCCCCTTCAAGCGCAGCAGGCCTGCTGTAACTCCCGCATGACACAGGTGAAGGTGCTAGGGTATCATTTTAGGGATAATAATAGCAGCTGATTTCTGTTTATGGATTTAATTGATTCTAATCCAGAAGCTCTGAAATCACGACAATTCTGTGCCAAGTACCTCCCATGAAGGATGATGGTTTGGAGACCTCTGTCAATTACCCAGCAGAGGAGATGAGTGCCCAAGTATTTCTGATGTTAAGGAGCCCCTTTAATCCAATCAGTTTCAGAGAGTCTTACTTCCTCTGAGCCATGCATGGATTGATTCTATAAGAGCACCTTTTCCATTAAAGAAACTGATTGCAAACTTCGCTTCTAATTGTGAAAATGCTCACCTGCTCCAAGTAAACAGTTCTGGAAAGATGCTTTCATTTTGCTTCAGTTATTTGGCTGAGGAGAGTGGAGTTTCAACAGAAGTTTAAGATAAATTCAACACCCATCCTCACTCGTAGAGCAATTTGTGCCTAAGGTGAGTGTAGAAACTACAAAGTGACCTTGACCCCATCAGCCACTTTTCAAGGACCTCAATTATTTGATTATGATCAAAAAAAAATTCCCTAAGTAAGGGAACAGTGGAAATGGAAAGTGTAAGGAGACGTTGAGTTGATCATAAAACAAATATCAAAAACTGAAAACAACCTCAGTATCCCAACAATTGGACACACATTAAATCAATCATTAAAAACTGATTTTAGTATATATGCTGTAATACTACAAAATTATTAAAATCATGTTTTCTGAAGAATATATGATGAGACCAGAAAATATTCACCACATATGTGAGATGGAAAAAGCAGTGGGCAAAATTGCACATGTAATTTTTTGAGAATCTTTAGTCCCAGAAAAGACTGTGCTGTGCAGAAGTTCAAAAGAACAAAATGAGTCTATATATACTAAGATGGAAAAAAATCCTAAAATCTGACATCACATCATGAAAGCACATTTTGGAAATGTACAGCACAATCCTACTTGGCAGGGATTTTGGATCGGGAAAGTTAAAGGGGACTTTGATTTCATCTGTATCATTTGAATTTCTGTAATGAGAATATATTTGTTTATTGTGAAATGTAAAATCATATTTAAAAAATTTAAAGTGGGGGATGAAAGTAAGAAAAAATATTGGAAGAAAATATTCCTTAAACATTAATAGTTGTCTGTCTCCAATGGTGTAATTGTGGTTAACTGATGAAACTGAAGCCCTTGCAGGGTAAATCCCTCAATCGATCCAAAATTCAGTCCTGGTTCTCTGACTCTTTGGAGTCTTTCATGTTCTTTCCACTCCATATCACCTTTCCAGTTACGGGTCCTTAAGTGCCTTGGAGTCAGCTTACTGTTAAGGGGAAGGAAAGGAAAAGCAGGCGCTGGAGATGGGTGGCTGTCTTTATTCATGAACTTCAAGGCTCCAAGTTCAGCAGTGAAAATTAGGTACGAGGCCAGTGAATCAGGGGCAGGGAGGAGATAGAAGTGGCGCCACCAGCTGCTCAAAAAGAAAAACAAAAAACAAAAAAGCAAAAAAACACTGCAGCTTTTGCAGCTGTGGTTCACAGCACAGTTTACTTAGGAGCTAACAGATTCCAGGATCCACCAGCCCAAAGATTAAGACCCACCAAGTCCCAAGTGTGGTCCAGGAATTCTGCATTTTCCCAGGTATCCCATGCAGTTCTTAGACCACTTCTTGAAAACCCTGCTCTAGAGATGTTATAGATCCAGAAAATGCATGAAGTACTGCCCTCTCTCTTCCAGACCATCTGCTGAACCCTTTTTTTCTTTCAGAATGGTCCTTTCTGCCCATTTAAAGCTGATTCCACTGAGTTAAAATATTGACTGGGGCATCAGGCTGAGTGGAGGGGGTAGGTAGAATTGCAGAGTGTGACTGGGCTGAGGAGAGTGGGGAGAGGGCAGGGGTTGCTCAGTGAAGAGAAGGGGCAGCAGCCACATGAATGCTATGAAGTTTAAAAATCAATTTAAATGCTCTTATCTGTAGATATGACCCTGCCAAACAGATGACACAACAGAGTATGACCATTTAAATAAGTTATTGTCAGAGGATTATAGCGAAAATAATTACAGCATTTAAGAAGTGAGCGTCCAAGTCTCGATCATCAGCTTAGCCAGGAGGAAATGCCGTTAGACCCCCAGGGTCAAGAAGAACTACAGTAATCAGGTTTTTTCCTGAAAAATTGCTGACGCCTCTGGAAAGCAAAACATAGGTCCTATGTTGCCACCTAGAGGCCAAAGTCTGGAAGTATGGGCTGAAGAAAATTAAATTGATGTGCTTCCTTCCAAGTTTAATTACCGCACTCCAAAACCATCAGCTTCAGACTTAAAAATGTCCATCAGTCCTTTTTTCATAGGAGAAGAATATGTGTTTGAACTCAAGCTCCATAAAACCCAAATGATTTCAGGATGGAAAAAACCTTTCTAGAACCTTGATTAACTGTGAAAGAGCCTGTCCTGTGTAAGCCTGAGGGCGAGGGATGGTCTTAATTGCTGCCATCTAACCAGATGACCTGAGGAAAATCACTCAGCCCCTCGGGGCTAAATTCCTCTTATGTAAAATAAGAGGACTGAACTAACTTGACAGCACTGCAACCCTTCTAAGGCCTAAAATTCTGTATTCTTTAATAACCTAGACTCTGTTTTAACCCACACATCAGTCCAAAAGGTTGGCACCATATGCAAAAAAAAAATGTTGGTACCCTGCATTTTTTAACTTGACCTTCTTCATCAAGAAAATCATATCTCTGCTGCCCTCTAGAGCTCTGCCTGAAATCTGCATGATTTTAAAACAAAAATCCCCCAAATAAGGGGTGAGCCTGCTTGAGATTTA